CAGTAATTCCTTTATGACCGAAGTGAAGGATAAATCCAAAGCTTCCCGCTCAAATAGCTGCATGACAGTGACAATGAGCATGCCCGCACCTGATTTCTTATGATGAGCTGCATAGCAGTTATGGCGGACATCCTTGCATCTGAATACCTCTCAAATTCCCGGTCCTGGAATAATCGTCTAGATGGACACGTCAGGCTCCGATTATCTTGCTTGGCATGCCACGTGGGTTCCTCATTGGATCCTATAAATACCCCCCACGGGCCACGTCAAAAGGTAATTGAAACCAACCCTAAGCTCTTTTTATCTTCGCTCTAAAGGTAGCCCCGATTATTGCTGACTTAAGCATCAGAGTGTCTACCCCGAGTTCCACCTCGGGGCTTTGCAGGTCATTCCGGAGTGCCGACGCAGACTGAAGAAGGACTTCTGGTTTGGTGCAATTACAGTAACTTCAGCTATATCAGTGACAAAAATATATTTTAATCAATTTACATGTCAATCTTGTTGAAATTTGTCTCTTTGTTATTCTTTTATAATTTTTTAACTTATATATTTTAATATTAAAATAAATTCTCTCATACACTTTTTAATTAAAATAAATTAATTCAAATTTAATTGATGATGTCATAATATCTACATTTTCGTGAAATACATTGCGGGGCTTGATGATTTTATACCTGTAGAGCCTTTTTTATGACATAGATGATGGCATTGCAACACAATTGGGCACTTTTAATCTGACATGGCAAAATAATAGCTAACATGAACTCAAATGGTGGGAAAATGCCCAAAAGAGAATAAAGGTTTTTCTCTTCTTCCTCCTATCTTCCTCGTAACTGCCTCTCCATCTTCATGCCTAGTTTGTTTCTTTCTTCTTCTTTTTTTTTATTTTTTCCAAAGTCTTCATTCCTAGGTTTTCTCTTGGTCTTCTATGCTGAAGATCACCACAAAGAATCCAATCCTGACTTCCACCACCGTCAACAACTTCTCTTCTTCTCTAGCTATGGTGAGAATCATTAGGGTGGACTTAAGTCTAGTAAAGACTTTGGAGGGTTGAATGGGGCTTGAAGTAAACCTTGAAATCTTTGGAGAAGACGAGTCCATTGGTGATCATCGATGCTTTTGCCTAATTCTACACTGAAGTCTGCTCCCTGTGTTCCATACTTAAAACAATAGCCACTCAATTCAATTCTAATAAAGTTAGGGTTTCATACTTATACAAGTGTTATAAGTGTTATAATGACTAAACTACCCACATATACATATATTATCATTCCCCCGCAAGTTGAGCAAGATTACATAGCATGCTCAAATTGGAACGTTAAGAACAAAATGCTAATGCCAACAAAGACTTTGTAAGAATATCTACACACTGTAATGTGGAAGGAACATGTTGAAGAAGGATAAGGCTAGAAACCACCTTCTCACGCACAAAGTGAATATCAATTTCAATATGCTTGGTTCTTTGATGCTAAATGGGATTAAGAGTCATGTAAAGAGCACTAATATTATAAAAAAGAACAAGAGGCAGAGAAGAAAGGAAGACAAACAATTCAGCCAATAATTACCTCACCTAAAGAACTTTAGCAACTGTATTAGCAAGAGACCTATACTTAGCTTCAACATTGAAACGAGTGATCGTGTGTTGCTTTTTAGATGACCAAGAAACCAAAGAGCGACTAAAGAACAAACAATATCCAAAAGTAAAATGTCGAGTATCCAAACAACCAACCCAATTGGCATTCGTAAAAATACTAAGAGAAGGAAAAGAATCATGAAATAAATAAAGGCCATGATGCATAGTACCTTTCATTTATCTCAAAATGCATTTAATTGCAAAAAAATGATTCTCAGTAGGTGCATGCATAAACGAATATACCAAATTCACAACAAAAGCAATATCAAGCCGAGTAAAAGTTAAATAATGCAAGGCTCTAACGATATTATGATAAAGCCAAGCATTCGAACAAGGAAGGCTGTCCATAGCATAGAGTTTGTGCTTTGGTGTCAAAGGCATAGGGGATAGATTTGCAATCAACCATGCCACTTCTAACCAACAAATCACCAATATATTTAGCTTGAGAAAGAAATAAACCATCTAAATTAAAATGAGTAGAAATACCCAAAAAGTAGCTAAGGCACCCCAAATCTATCATTAAGAACTCAGTCTTCAACATAGAGATAATGTAATGTAAAAGTGACATTGTAGAAGCAGTGAGTATAATAACATCCAGATAAAGCAAAAGAATACCCATGGAGCTAGAAGAATGAAACACAAACATAAAGTAGTCAAATAAAGCCTATACAAATTCATGTGAAAGTAAGAAGGCTTTAAAGTGCTGAAACCAAGCATGAGGAGCTTGTTTGAGACTATAAATTGCTCAATGCAACAAGTAGACATGATCCGGATAATGCTGATTAATAAACCTAAGAGGTTGATGCATACAAATAGGTTCAGACAAATTACCATTCAAGAAAGCATTCAAGAAAGCATTCTTGACATCTAATTTATGATCAGGCCAAGAATAGGTTACTGCAAGGGAAAATATCATTTGAATTGTTATTGGCTTCATAATAGGCTAAAAGTCTCATCATGGTCTACTCCAAGTTGCTGTGTATAGCCTTGAGCACAAGATAAGCCTTATATCTCTCAAGTGTACCATTCGCACGAGTTTTAATTTTGTAAACCTACTTTGAACCAACAACATTGACATTAGTAGGCTGTGGAATAAGAATCCAAGTGTTGTTTCAAAGAAGAGTAGAGCACTTGTCTGCCATGGCCTTTCTCCATTATGTACAATTTTGTGCCTGATAAAAGGATCAAGGCTCATGCATGTCAATTGTGGAAGCAACCATAGATGGTGAGACCTTAGCTTTCCTTATACCATCTTGAGACCTAGTCATCATAAGATGGGTCTAGTGAGAAACTTGTTGAGAAATAAAACTAGAAAAAGTTGTTTCAGTAACATTATAAGAAATAGTAGGGGAAAGGTCTTACAATTGGACATGCTTGGAAGGCAAGACATCTGGAATCACAATAGATGCAAGCATAAATATGTCTTGGATAACAAAAGTTGGCAGGAGCCATTTAGCACTGTCGATAAGAAGATTTGTTGGTTGTTGGACAGGTTGTGGTGGGGAAGTAGACATATTAGTAGGCAAAATTTATGGTTTGAAAATATTAATTAGATGAATAGCAACATGAAGTGCTTCCACCCTAAATTTACTAGGCAATTTCCCTTAAAATAATAATGAATGAACCATATTAATAATAGTTTGATTCATTCTCTTAGCTCTCCCATTTTGTTGAGGAGTTGAGGGACATGAAGAGCAAAGATAGATAACATAGGTTTGAAAATAAGTAGCAAATTGAGAGTTATCAAATTGACAACCATTGTGACATTGGAATGCTTTAATTCGAGCACCAAATTGAGTAAAGATATAAGCAAAAAAATGAAGAAAGCACTGAAAAGCTTTAGGTTTAGAGTGTAATGGATACACCTATAAATAATGACTATAATCATCCAAAAATAATAAATAATAATTAAAACCAATAAAAGATTCAACAGGAGAGGTTGATACATCTGATGTATCAAATCAAAAGGTGTTGAAGCAATAAACATAAACTTTGAAAAGAAAGATGCACATGTTTTCCTAATTGAAAAGAATGATAATAGATCGAAAGGCAACCTCTTATTAATAAAGATGAAACCTCACTTGATGAGATAACCTAGAGACTTAGACCCTAGATGCCCAAGACAAAGATGCCACAAATAAGAAGACATGGTAGTAGTAGAAAACATAGCCTAAAGATAAGAAGACACATTGGGCCAAGAGTATAATCCCCTTGGAATATTGCAGCAATAAAGAATGATCTTCATCTTGTTGTCCTCAACATAAAAACTAGAGGAATCAAAATCAATACTACAATCATTGTCTTTAGCAAGCTAATGAATAGAAACTAAATTTTTTTTGTAATGTATGGAGAGATAAGAACATTATTAAGATAGAATGGATGATTTGTAAAAGAAAATACTACACTACCAGAATGAGTAATAGGAAGCAATTGACCATTGCCAAATTGTGTAGAATAAAACCAAAAATAAATAAAGGAGTCAAAAAGATTACCAGGATTACCAGTAACATGTGTCACGGCACCACTGTCTTTATGCCAAGTAGAATTTGAAAGTGATGGTGGATATGCAGATGCAGTAAAGAAAGTCTGATGGGTACTAGGTAAGGATTGAACCAAGTAAGGACACTTCTTGGCTTAATAACTGGACTGACCACACCATTGGCAAGTAATAGTAGTTGAAATAGTAGACTGTGTTGACAAAAATGGACGTAGACCAGTATTGATAAGACTATAGGGTGAAGACATTTGAAAGTTGGCAAAAGCACCATGATGTGGATAAGAACCACATCCAAAATTAGAGGTAAAGAACCACGACCATATTTGCCATCATGAGAACCCCTTTACCTTCACGATAGAAGCCCGTACCATTTCCTCTTAAAAAACCAATAAAATCAGGCTTTGTATGAACATCAACAACATTAATGAAAAAAGGTGATAAACCTGGAAACTAAACTTGTGAAGAACTAGAAACTCCAGCTAACAATACTTGCTGAGTACCCTAGACAATTGAAGGTAGAGAACCAATGGCCTTTCCATGCTAAATATTGGCTTCCTCAATTAAAAGTAAAGAATGAAGCTTTAAGAAAGTATGAAAAGGCACTCATTGAGGTATGGTTCCTTTAGTTATAGTATAATCTGAATCAAGAATGCTAAGAGTTTGAAAAACAATATCATAATTTGCCTTAGCATGTCCAATTCCATATAACTTATCAGTTATATATCCTTTACATGCTGCAAGTAACTCATGATGATTTGCCCTTGTTGTTTACGAATGGAAGAACACTCTTGTTGAAGAAATAGTGCCCTTGCAACCAATTGATTTTGGTAGGTGGTGTGAATATCATCCCATGCCTCTTTCACAGAATTAGAGTGTCTAGGCTGTATGATCATCTTCAGTACATCTGAAGATATAGTTGCTTGCATCCATGACAATATATGATAGTTAATTTGTGTCCAAGCTTCAAATGCAGGACTCCTAGGTAAAGGACAATGATCTGTGCCATTTATATGCCCAAAGACGCCCTTACTTTTTACAATAGGAATCATTCACTCATGCCAAACTACAAAATTATCATGATTCAAAGTTTCTAGAACAAGATGTTGAATGTTAAAAACAGTGAAGATTGGGTGTGAGAAGAAATTAGACTCTAAGGAAGAAGACACAATACTTGTGGGAGAAATAGAAATAGGGAGAATAAGAAAATTAGAAAAAGTAGAGGAAAAAAAGGATTGGTAGGGGAAATAGAAATAGGAATGGAGGGAATAGGAGAAGAAATAGATCAGTAGACATGATGACTTAGAAAAAGAAGAAAAATCAAACGAAAACCCTAAGAATAAGTTTTAGTGCCACATGGAGGCTTTGATACCATGAAAACAATAGCTGCTCAATTTAATTCCAAGAAAGTGAGGGTTACATACTTATACATGTGTTATATGTGCTGTAATGACTAAACTACCCACATATACATACATATACTATCACATGCTCCAACAATTGTAAGTGAACAACCGAAAATTCTAAGAAAACCCATAAAAAAATTACAAGCCATAGATCATAAAAATGATTTCATTCTTCTCTTTGATCAAAATCTCTTTAGCATCCTCAATCTCCCTCTTGCTCTTCCTTGAATTTTTATAACTATGTTCTTTCCAATTTGTACCCCCACCAATGTTATGATCTCAACCTTTTTTTCTTTAGCTATTCTTTTATCCTATTTGAATTGCTGCCGTTCCAATTATTTTGGATCCTTTCCTTTTGCTCTTCTGCAAATCTCCCATTTGGGATTTTAGGGTTTATTGTGGACAAAAAACTACAAGAGGAAGATGGAGCAAAATGTTGGGTTACTGTTATGGGATTAATAACTTAAAATTTCATTTATTAAAAGTCTATTGAATTAATTGGTAAATTAAACTTGTAACTATAAGTCATATAGATGTATAGATGTGAGTAGATGGGCAAAATAGTAAACAAAAATTAAATTAAAACTTGTTAGGTGTATTTAATATTTTAATAATGATAAAATTTGAGGTATAGCAATGTCAGACTATTTCCCACCCTCTCATCCTCCAAATCATACCTGTTTTAAAAAAATAAAATTTATTCACATCTATATGCATCAGGCCTTATAAACTAGTTAATTTGTGTATTCAACACCTTAACTAGTATCAAAGTTTAAACTCTGATAATACCATGTAAATATCCCTTTTCCCTACCTAAATTGTAACTATTAAAAAAAAATCTAGTCGCGTCTATGTGGAAAAGGTCAAAAGGTATCTCTAATATCTATGACTATTAAAATATCAAATTTGCACCGCATCAGCTAAAACAGGTTCAAAGATTGCTATGTCACCTTAAAGATAACAACAGGTCAATGGGTTTAACAATATGTTAATGTTTGCTTACATCATCAATTAAATTTAACCTGATTTATTTCAAATGAAAAATATGTGGATGATTTATCTTAATATTAAAATATATGAATTAAAAAATTATAAAAAATAATAGAGAGGTGAATTTAATAAGGTCCAAAAATATATGGATTAAAATACCCTTTTGGCCTTAAATCAAAAACTCATTAAAAAAAAAAACTCTTCCAATTAATTTCTATCTATTTTATTTAGATTATTTTCAGTATTAACTCAGATAAAAATTAGTAAAAAAAAAAATGAGAAACGAAAAGGGAAGGAAAGGAAAAGTAGGTGGCTATCTCATATATTTAGACAAGACACACTTTAATAAAACCTCGTAGTAAAAAACTCTAAAATTCCCAAAGACAAAACAAAACTCCACCATACATAACATTGAAGCCCACCCATACAGACGCCATTAATCACAAATCCACTAGCTTGTCGCATACTTCCATGAGGAAATTACATTTAATTGAAGCTTAAGTAATCAATTAGTAAAAAAGATGGTGGTGCAAAGATTGGATTCTTGTCGACTTCTAAGCCCCTCTCCAACTACTACAACTGCATTGCTCAAGCCCTAAGAATTGCACTAGCAGCATACTAGCCACCGCCCGTGCACTACACTAGTGCCGCATTACCCTCAGCCCAAACGCTGAACTAGCACTGCACCAGCCTAAATGTTGAACCAACACCCTATAACTACAAGCCTTCACCCTAACTCAACCGACCATTGCATGGCTAAATACCCAAATCCACCTCCCAAGTATAGTGGAAGGGACGAATCCACCACCGAACAAAAAATGGGGACAAATTTACCCACAAAGTTTTTGACTTGGACAAATAACCCAATATTTGATGGGCCACATCAGCTGCCGTCATCTTCCCGTTAATGACATGCTTACTTAAACATTTAAACACAGTGGATGTTTTTTTGCCTTCATGAATGCTGAACTGGCCCATTCCCGCCCATTTTAATCCTACGTGGCAATTTTTCTCTGCTTTCCATTACACGTCAACTGGGCCCCACCTATAAAATTCCATAAAAATTCATTTTCGGCTAAAACCTAATTTTATCTATTTGATTGAAGATTAAAAATGGAAACGAAAAGCCTTATAAGCCTGTAAACTTGTAAACGAAAACCAATCCCAGGATTCTCCAATCTCAAGTCTCTCTACGGTAGTACTTAGAGAATCTCTTGATCGATAGTTGGAGGGGATATGACATTGCTTGGCAAATCTCAAGACTAAAATCGAAACAGGAAATTGAGTTAACAAGATAAAGGGCTTCGTTGATCAGGACAAAAGGACAATAAGTATTGCTTTTAGTCTTTTGGTATCTTTTTTCTGTATAGAAAGTTGTGGGTGGGTTAGGGGTTTTATAAAGTGCTTATATTTTGTAGGTTTGATTGTGGATTTGGGATGGGTAGTAGATTAATGTTGATGTTAATCTGTGGGCCACTCAAAAAGGTAATGCTTTTTTTTTTTGTCATGTTTTATTGAACAGCATGGCGGATGAATTCTAGGGAGTGTTGTGTTTTTTCCATGGTGGGACATTTGTTCCAGGACCACCAATTAAGTATAAAGCTGCTCAATGTATATCATTACCCTTTGACTGTGATAGGTTATATGTTGGTGTGATCATGGATACAATTGTTAGTTTTGGCTATGAAGATGTTATGATTAAGAATGTGTATTACACAACAATTGGAAGAAGTGTTATGAAATTGAAGTGTTTAGCTGGTGATGACAGTATTAGGGACATTTTGCGCATGGTGCATGCTGAGGGTTGTGTTGATATATATGTTGATCATGAGGTCAATTATGCCCAACTTGCTTTTCCACAATTATGTTGGGTTGATAACAATATAGTTGAGGAGGGAGGCATACATGAAGAAAGGGTTGGTGAAGAGGAAAGTGGACATGAAGAAAGGCTAGGTGACGGTATTGATGGTGAGGTTAGTGGGGAAGTAGATGAAGGTGACTTGGATATCATAACCCAAGAGTACCCTATTGGCAATAAGGGTAATACTGGGAATACAGTTGAGAAAGGTGAATGTAGTAAGCGTAATAGAGGTAATTGCGAAGAATCAGAGTTTGGGTCAACTGATGGTTATGTTGATGATTGGAGCTCGACAGATGATGAAGTAAAACCTCTGTAGTAGTGATAGAGATGATGAAGAGTTAATTGATGTGAAGAAATGTGCAAGGTCTATTAAGAGACCAACAGGAGGGTTAGAAGTTCCTAGTGGGCTTCAAACACCAAAAGGGGTCAAGTACAAGCATGTTGCAAAGAAGCCAACCCTTAGATCAACTCTTATAAAAAAGCCAACCCCTAGATCAACTCCTATAAAAAAGCCAACCAGTAGATCTACCCTTATAAAGAAGCTAGCCACTAGATCTACTTCAGTCTCTAGGGGTAAGAAGGTTGCATCATTAGATCTTGCTGAGTTGAGTAGGTTGAGGAAAGAGAAGGCAAAGCTTGCAGAAAAATGGTACAAAACACTACCTCATTGGAAGGAATGTCAAAAGGGAAAGGATTCAACACCAATTAAATAGAAGAAAGGAGATCCTCTACATCTTTCTAAAGGTATTCCTGTTGAGAATGATGTGTCTAAAAGTGACAATGATGGCAGAGACAATTACTATGAAAACAATGATGATGTTGGGAAGTTGAGGGATTCAACTACTGAGTTTGAAGAAGAAAATTTGTTTTTTTGTTTCATCTAATAAAGCAAGACAAAGGAGAGCTTCTAATGTGTACTTTAATCCTTCTTGGGATGTACCATTCTTTGAAGTGGTGTGAGATTTCAGAATGCAGCACAATTGAAGGAAGCAGTGAGAAAGTATTCTATGAGGAAAGGTTGTCCTTTACTCTATATAAGGAACGAGCCTAAGAGACGAAAGTTCATTTGGAAATCTAGTCTGTGTTGTTGGGAGATTTACGGTTCATTTGTCAATAAAGATAACAATTTCCAGGTAAAAACATACTAGTCTGAACATACATGTGTTAAAAATTCAAAAAACAAGATGATGACAACCGTGATGCTTCTTGAGTACTTTAAATCAAGAATTTATGCTACACCTTTCTTGAAATGCAAAGATATGATGATATATGCATACAATGAGTTGAGGGTTAGTATAAATTATAATAAATGTGTTAAAGCCAAGAAGATGGTATTGAAGGAGATGTAGGGGAGTTTTAAGGATGAGTATGTCATGATTCATGCATTTGGTGGGTATTTGAAGGAGGTCAATCCTAGAAACTTAGTTTTCATTAAAACTGAAGAAAATGATGCTAGTGAGTATGTTTGTTTGAAAGTTATCAAAGATGGTTAGAAGAATGGTTGTAGAGGAATCTTTGGAGTTGATGGTTGTTTTCTTAAGGAAATTTTTAAGGGTGTACTACTGTCTACTGTTGGTCGTGATGGAAATAACCAGATGTACCCAATTGCATGTGCTGTAGTCGAATCTGAGAACAATGATTCATGGACATGGTTCATGCAGAGGCTTGCATCTGATTTGGAGCTTGGAACTGGGCATGGTTATACAATGATATCTGACAAGCATTCAATATGTATTTTTATTATTTTGTATATTCATGATATTTTACTTGTTATGTTGTTAAATAACTTGATTTATTAAATTAATCTTGTAGGGAATTATCTATGCAAAGGCTGAGGTTTGGCCACTTATAAATCATAGATATTGTGCGAGACACCTATATTGCAACCTTGCAAAGACGCACAGAAGGGATGATATCAAACTGGCCTTTTGGATAGCTGCAAGGGCAGCATACCATATTGAATTTTTGGAGAAAATGGAGGAGTTGAGAGGAGTATCTGAGGAAGCTTATGATGAGATGATGGATTTGCCAAGAGGGTTTTGGTGCAAGGCATTCTTCGATGAAGATTGTAAGTGTGATGTGGTTGATAACAACATGTGTGAAACATTCAATTCATGGATTTTGGCTGCTAGGTGTAAAGCAATCATTTCTACGATTAGAACTTTCATTGACTAGTTGATGGAGAGATTCAGGGAAAAAAGATTGTTTGCAGAGACATGGCCAAATGATATTGCACCTAGAGTCATGAAAAAGATAAAGGAAAATACCATGAGGTCAATGTAGTGCTATGGCAAGTGGAATGGGGACCCTTCATTTGTTGTGTGTGATACTACTTCTAATGTAACACATGTCATTGATTTCATAGCAAAAAATTGTTCAAGTAAAGAATGAAATTTAATTGGAATTCCTTACCCCTGTGTCTTGGCAATTGTTAGGTACATGAATTGGAATTATGAAGATTTTGTTCATGAGCACTATAAGATGGAAAAGTATGTGCAAGCTTATAGGACTGTGTTGAAGTACCTTAAAGGCAATGAGATCTTGAAGAGAAGACCAAAAGGAGGTTGTTTACCACCAGTGTTGAGAACACCACCAGTGTTGAGAACACCACCAGGACGACTAAGGAGGGATAGAAGAAAAGATAAGCATGAGCCTAAGAAAGTTAAGGTGGGGAAATTCAGTAGGTTGTCCAAGCATGGGTTTGTGATGAGTTGTAGCTTGTGCAATCAACAAGGACACAATAAAGTTGGATGTCCCAAAAAGGAGTTAGTAGGGACCAATCAAAGCAATGTATTTACACCACCTCATGTAAATTTTTGTCTTTTTTGTTGGCTTAAATTTCAATGCTGCAATTTTAGGTTGATAAAAAGCATCAAAAGAAAAAGGCCAGCCAAAAACCCAAGGTGACTACAAGAAGAGGAAAGGGAAGAAAGTGCAAGAACAAACTGAAAAAATTGCCAAAAAAGGGTGAATGATGCTAAAGGCAAGGAATCACTTAAAAGGGAAACAAGGGCCAAAAGAAAGATTGATTGTGTAAGTCTTTTTTCAGAATTATTGTGCTCGAATATTTATTTCACAAATTAAATTTCAAATGTTTAATGACTAGTATGTATATTATGTAAGTTGAAGGAGTAGTCATCAATGAAGGCCAAAATGACTCAGGAAAGAAGACAAAGAAATCATCTATAAAGGGAAAAGAGAAAGCATGACTCAATGTCATTTGACGGTTTGTGGTTTGTAATCACATTTGACAGTTGGTTATTATGCCTTGTTTTGGAGATGTACATGTGGTTAAGATGCCTTCCTTTATTATGTCTTGTCTTGCTTTATTTTAATGGCATTATATTCAATCAAATTTGCTTATGTAGTTGTATGTTTCAGGGTAACATCATGATTGTGATTTAGCTATTGTCCATTGCAAAAAAGTCAATTACATTTGGTTACTGCCACAAAAGACATGATCAAAATGTTCTTACAAATAAGCAAAATATGCCATACCCCCAACAAACAAACAAAATATGACACCCTCTATACCTTATAGTAAGGATCTCAAAATAAGAACCAAATGAACATAACCAATACAAACCCAAACCCCAAAGCTAATACATAAGTACAGATTAATTTCCTAATTTCAGAATGGATAGAGGCTGAAACTGAGGTATCCAACTTTCTCTTCACATCATCAACAGCTCTCGACACGGCATTTTGTATAATTTCCTCCAATTCAACTCCATTTCTTTGGCTAAATTCTTGCTGGTTAGCACTTGACGTGGCATGGCTTGACTCAACAAATACAGGTGACTCATCTAACACAGGTACAGTTCCAACCAAATTTCTTTGTTTTAATTGCCCTTTCAAAGCTACAATTTCGTTACTCATACACTTTTTCTCGTTAATCAACAATTTTAAAAGCTCAATAGCTCTCTCAATTGTTAGTTGAAAGTCATGTCAAACAAAGTATGCACACGTCAAATCCTACATGAAAAATATTTCCAAGTGTAAATATTTATTACAAGATAAAACAAAATTACATACCCATAACGAAGAAATTATGTGTACAGCATTCAAGAAGTTTGGGCACCCATAAAAGCGTCTACCGATGCTCCATGGTCTCCATGAAGTCCACCTCAGTGCCTTTAATGCACAGTCGTAGAACATCTAACGCCCTTCGTATGTGTGCTCAATCAACCCAAAATCCCTCACCCCAGAAAAAGCTTCAAATCCTAATGATCGAGAATTAGAGGAAGATGCCATGGAATTGCTTTCCCTAGCCCAAATTTAGAGGATAAAGAGAAACCCTAACCCACGATTTCATATTTCAAGAGAAGAGAGAAGGAAAATGGAAGACATAGAAATAAGTTAGGTTTTAGCCGTTTAAGGGTTTTATGGAATTTTATAGGTAGGGCCCAGTTGACATGTAATGGAAAAGAGAGAAAAATCACCATGTAGGATTAAAATGGGCGGGAATGGGCCAATTCAGCATCCATGTAGGCAAAAAAACCTCCACCATGTTTAAAATGTCTGAGTAAGCACGTCATTAACAGAAAGACGACGACAACTGACGTGGCCTGTCAAATAATAGGTTATTTGTCCAAGTTGAAAACTTTGTGAGTGGATTTGTTCCCGTTTTTTATTCAGAGATGGATCCATCCCTACCACTATACTTGAGGGGGTGGATTTGGGTATTTTGCCTCCATAGCAACACACCAAAGGCTTTCGTAAGGGCGCGTCAGGTTGTATATTATATTTAAAAATCAAAGAGAAAAGACAATTAAAAGGTTGATTACAGATGGATGAATTGGAAATAAGGATGGAAACTCCCCTAAGGGAATTGAAATCTGGAAGAAATCCCCTAACACCAAACTCAAACCTTAGCCGAGATGAGTTAAAATCTCGAAGAAATAAACCCATAACCCCATAGTCTAACACTAACAGGGAAAGAGTGGCACATGAATGGATCACACTTCACATTATTATTATCATTATTTAGTACATTAAGCGTTAATTGTTTGATACATTATAAAGATTTAAACTCTTAACATTAATTTTAAATTGAAATTATTTTTAATTTAGTACCAATTCAAATATGTTCTTATTGGTGTTTTACTTTTCATATTATTTGTTTTATGTTAACCTCTCGGTATCCAAAAGTCACACTGAATCTCAACTAATTCGGAATTGAACTACGTCAGGCCCCATATAGGGAGAAGCTCTCTTAATATCTGTTTCTTTATTTACAAAACTCGAACTTGAGATCTTTCTTAAGAGAACCGATCTTTTTCCACTCAGATTAATAGTTTGTTGGTTTTATTTTTCATATTATTCTATCATTGAGACACGTCTAAAAATTTGGTTGTATGCATCTAGCGTTTTTGCTGTAATTCCATGATGTAAATGACACAATTATCAAGTTTTTCTTTCTCCTTGACCACAAAATAAATGAAATGTATAATAATTTATAATGATCAATTGTGTACATTTTTCCAAAATTTCCATCATTTTTATTCCAAATTTTCTTTATGATAATCATTTTATTCCAAATAATGGTTTCCATATTTTCACTAATGACAAAATGGCCTGGATTATGGATGTACAGATGATTATATTATTTCGAATCCTCACTCCGTGCTGCCTTTTTATTGGCCGAAGTTCACTCCGTACTGTTGAAAATAATGATTCACTCCATATAGTGAAAACTAAAGCACAATAATTATGTCAAGTGGCATTTCAAATTTTTACATGTAAATTCTCTTTATCATTTTCCATGTCTTACTTTAAATCACACCTTTTTTTGTTTGCAAATCACACTTTTAAAGAAAATGCTCTGTATGGTAGCACAAAACTAACCATTATGGTAGTTCTTTTTTATTTAATGGCTCTAATTTTGCAGTCTATTATAATTTAGACTATAAAATTCTAACACTACTAGAAAAATGACGTATGCGGACCGATCATATACGGACCGACACGTGTCGGTCCGAAAAAATAAATATTCGAACCAATATCGGTCTGAATATATTCCGGTGGGGGAAAATATACTGATGAACATATTCGGATCGGTATCGGTCCATATATTTCTGGCGGGAGTCACAGTGTAGACGCGCCAATAATATTCAGACCGTTTTCGGTCCGAATATTATTTTTGAAAAAAATAAATATTAAATACCAAAAAATATTTCTGGCGGGAGTCAACAGTACAATCGCGCCAATAATATACGGACCGTTTTCGGTTCGAATATTATTTCTGAAAAAAATAAATATTAAATACCAAAAAATATTTCTGGCGGGAGTCGAGAGTACAAACGCGCCAATAATATACGGACCGTTTTCGGTCCGAATATTATTTCTGAAAAAAATAAATATTAAATACCAAAAAATATGGAAAAAATATTATTTAAGTAAATATATACGGACCGGTTTCGGTCTGTATATATCCATTTGACAATATCTCTGAATTGATTGGACGCTGGGTCCCACTACAGTTTTTTTTGGACCGGTATCGGTCCGGATAAGGCTGCATGCAGCCTTCTTCCCCTCGGTTCGCCCGTCCCCCCCCATTCTGCGATTTCTCCACAATTTTCCTTTGTTTTTCCTGTCTTTTTTCTTCTTCTCCACTGCAAGCTTCTCCTCCAATCTTTGACCAACCACCACCGAGGTAAATAACTCTTTTCAACTGGTTTTTGGCCAGCGATCTTGCTGGTCTTTTTTTTTTTTTTTTTTT